TGTCTAAGAAGAGGAACATAAATCCTTATTCACAACAGCCACATTATTGCAACCGCCTTGCCATCATGCAATCCTCAAGTTAGTTAATTAACCCTTCAGGAGATGACACTGAAGTAGCTTCAGATGGAAGTGATAGATCTGATAGTACTAATCCAAGCTTTACTATAGATGAGCTTAGATCAGGCTGAGCATCATCATTCTTAGGCACTGAGAGTGACTACTCTAATGACTAGTTTCCCCTAAAACTACAAAGCCCAGACTTGGAGACCTAAGATATCAAAATAATAATCACATCCTGCGCTGCCTTCCCTCAACTAGTCAGGCCTGGCTAGAAGAGTGGCTTTTTTCATTCTGTATTAGGTTGCTTACCAGAAAGGCTGGCCACACACATGGTGATAAATTTCAAAATATGATTGTTACTTTCACCGCTGTGTATGGAATCCAACCTAAGACAAAGAGCTTCTATGATCCTTACAGCTACACTTCCAAACTTGCAGCTCTCTTATGGGTATCATGGATATTACTATTAGAATATACCCTGCTAGTCAAGCCCTATGGGTTTATTCCCAATATCTGTGCCCATACTAAATATCCAAATTACCTTGACTGGGCACTGTTAGTACACAGTACCTTTACTAGACAGGATAGTTAGTATCCCATGGCTGAGCTCCTGCGGTTGATGAGCAAAGGGCTTAGTATTACACATCACCAGAAGCAACCCCTAAATGTGCACTGGTCAGATGATGGGCAAGTCATCCACCATGATGGGGCTAGAGGTATTGCAATAGACTTAATGTGTGCTTGGGTCTAAGGCATGATATCAAATCTAACTTCCTTTTTAGATGAAGTCCTGCTCTAGGGCTATAAGTCACTAATCATGCTAGCTAACTTACAGGACCGGCTACATAAAGATACAGCCGGCTTCTTATTTTTAGATCTACTATCACTGCATTAAATATCCTATGAAGCACTGCTACAGCTCTATAAGACTCTACCTAATAGCATTCAACCCATAAGGCAAAAGGACACATGGGACTTTAAAGGTGTAGATAAATACCTAAGCAATATAAAGCAGTTTCTATAAGAACTCACAGTACTAATTAATATAACTTAGGGGCAGCTAAGTTAAGGCACAGAGCTCTAGAACATTAAGTAGTAGAATACATCCACATCTTAATAAAACATCTTTATTTATAATAGATCTGTGCTCATCATTACAGATTACAACAAGAGCCGGAATTAGACTAAGTCATATAACCATACACCCCAGTTTCTTCCACCACAGGTTGGGAGGCTGGTAGTACTTTACCTTATTCATGTGCGATCCCTTGTTTTAGCTCTCAATTAAGAGAAGAGACAAAGGCAAAAGAAAGGATCCACACCTGCTCTGCTAACCCAGCCCCCCAAACCCTAACCTACAGATAATCATTATTTGTTTGCTGTGCCTGGAGCAAGGCATACAGCAGAGAGGGGACAGGTATCACAGATAATGTTTAAGTTAAGTAAGGGGGCCTTTAATGGTGTGCGCCTCACAACATGAAAATACTATTATATTGCCATTAGAATCACTAAGAAGCACTTACTATCTCAGGCTTCTGGGGAGGACCTAGCTCAAGCAGCAGCACTGCTCCAGAATGTCTTTGCTGCCCAGGCCAGACATCATTTCTTAATTAATCAACACATCTATGCCAGGGACAGGGCTATACTACATGCAGGCTTTGGGGACAAATTAGACATCTTTCAGCAGGCATCCTGTCTATGGCATGACTTCATCCTCTAGCCCACCTTGCAAGTCTCTCAGCCAAGAGTAACATCCAGTTAGCCTACTCCACAGTTCTCCCTGCCACCTAGCACAATCTCTCAGCCATTTGAGGACACTCCCTGGCCATTCCTTAAGCACTTCACGGAGTGGAAATTACTGATATATATTAACCATGGCACTGCTATACCATATATATCAAGGGCTACACACCTTCAACAATACTATACAGATCAGTCAATTACTCGTGATGAGGTTCAAGCAATAGAGGATTATAATCTTCTATATCTTAAGGATGTTTAGGCTACCCTGCGTGAACAAGAAGCCCTACACCCTTTTCCATTTCTAGAACTAAAAGATGGATATAGATGTTACAGGCCTGGCTGTTAATTTATTACCAGCTCTAGGAAGAGATGGCTATTGCACAGGGCCAAGGTGCATGCAGAAAGGAATCATCAAAACACAAAAGTACAGGCGTTGATGGACCAAGGAAGTTACCTAGTAGAGGTGCATGTCCCCTAATACTGAGGCTTAGGAATTAGCTCTATTTTTACCTAACAGGAATCTATCATCTTACATATATATCTACTAGATCTCCTATACCCACAGGCTAACACACTAATTCTCCTATCCTACCGCCCATTACAACAAGCAACAGTTGTTAACCAGGCTAGCATGCCCTGATTTCGGCCGGGGCCATGTTTCACTAGCATAGGTATTAATCTAGGTATTTTATAACTATACAATCATTTCTTGTACTGCCTCATCACCTTACCCATTCACCTATAATGACAGTTAATCTCTCCCATCCCTTTTTATTCTCCATCTTCCTCACCATCATCAACCTTAACCACCTTACCAAACCACTCTAATCTGTATGTGCATACTAATTTCGGTCAGGGCTAGGTATCATATGCTTACTTATCTATCTAGTTATACTTTATAATACTCCATCATCCGCTCACCATTTAACTATCCTAATATATAGTTAACCATCTCTCCCTTCTCATTCTCCATCTTCCTCCCCATCAAGCTTAACTCTACCAAACCACCAAGATGGAGAATGAGAAGGGAGATTAATCTATAAGTAAATACTACCTCACTTTCCTTCACCATCTGCACTGTTTCTGGTTTTAAGTCTTCCTTTCTTATAGCTGCGTCCACTGCAAGTGCAGCACCACTAACCACATCATCAGGGCCAACGACCACACCTCCATCTAGATCTCCATCAGCAAGGTTGATGAGAACAGTCGCTACACCGGTGATAACCAGAGCTATGTGCTCTGCAGCTTCCTCCATGCTTATGGCAAGAGTAATGACTCCCTGAACCACCTCTGCCAGCGTGACAGCAACATGCGCAACATCTGAACCGCCAGCCGCCAGCAGTAAATGCTAGATGACTTTTTCTAGTGTTTGCTGTGCAAGACAGGTTGCTTAGATATAAGTTCCACATCTGTTAAATCATGGTCAGCCAACCCACATGCTGATTTAGATGTCGGTGCGGATAGGAAAAGACGGGCCATTAGATAAGTTATGTCTGGGAGTTGATGATACCTGAAAATCATTTTCTTTTACTATGAGTCAATAAAGACTTGAAGAACTTCCATCTAATTCAACCCCATTAATCCATTCCATGTATAGGATCCTCACAGCTTCTGTTACCTATGCTTATCTGACCTGTGTTACTCACAGCCAGGTGCCCCCTGATTTTGGCCAGAGCCAACTGTCACTTGCTCACAGCCAGGTGCCCTGGATTTCGGCTAGAGCCAACTATTGCTTGCTCACAGCCAGGTGCCCCTGATTTCAGCCAGAGCCAACTGTGCTGTCAGGGCGGCTGAATATCACGTGATGATGTCATTAGCTGAGACACTTGTGGGTGGGTGCTCAGGCTCAACCAATCAGATCACTCAATGGTATATTCTGTATAGCTTTAACATTCACAGCAACATACATTCACAAACACATTCACTTTTCTATAAAATGTCTTGCCTAGGGCTTCAACCCTGTGCCACATAATGCATAATTCTATTCATCCACCTCCATCTTACCTCCTTCCATCTTCTTCTTCTTCTTCCCCTCAACACCATCACCAACAACATCTCATCTCCAACTACAAACAATTTTAAGGTCAGTATCTGCTTCCAATAACTTTATTATTAATTCTGCTTTGATATTGCATCTCCTTCTTCACCTCCCTGTCCGAATTTCCCCTGTTTCCTTTGCTTGGACCAACATAACCTGTGGATTTCTGCCAGAGCCAATAGAATCAGGGGCAGATCTAGCGCGCATGCTTCCCCTTATAAACCCTTCTACAGTACCAGGAGCAATCTACAGTTTCTTTATTACTTTTCTTTATTGTAATGCTGAAGCTGAGTTATTTATCTTCCTCTCCATGCCCCTAAGAATCCCTGGTGTTTCTTTATCTGTACCAAACCCCACAAGCATTAGATTTCCACCCAAGCCAGCATTCAGATGCGAATTTAGCATGTCTTATTGCTTGCACCCTTTAGCCTGCTGAACTCAAGGCAATCCAGTATTCCTTATTTCTATTTTCTACTGCTTGTTTCCTTATTTCTAAATTCCACCACTTGGGTGTTTGACTTACTCTCTTTTCTTATGACAAAGACCCGCTCAGCCATGTTTTTCTTTTACCTGAGTGTACTGATAGAACCCAGTGGTGAGGATTCCAGTTGCGTCGCTCTTTACAAGGGATACTAATAGTAAATAATGATACATAGTGTACTAGACTCCCATCCCTAGTTATCTATTAGTGAGCTATCTCTTAGTCCTTAGTGAAATCAGCGTAATCTCACTTCCTTTGCTAATCTGTATCTTTAGTGATTACTTAGTGAGCTTTATCTGAAAATTCATTCTTTCATCCCTGACACCCAGCTTCATCATTCTTTGTCCACCAAACTGCCTCCCAACACCTTCTTTGTTTGCACACCTTCAACTGTCTAGTCTCCTTGGCTCCTGCTGCAATCGGTGAATCCTCGATCGAAGGGTGTCAGTCTTCAAACTTGCTTGATTTGAAAGCTAGGCTAACATCATCCCCAACGTCCAAAAACTGTTTGATCTGTGCGCATTGCAGCCATAAATTTCACCCTTACAATCACTGCCAACTTCCGTTTCACTTTCAACTATAATAGTTATTTCTTGTAGTAAGTCATCACCTGAAGCCCCTCCCTCTCCCACCTGTTGGATCAGCCTTGCCTGATTGGGCAAATTTCGGCCGGAGCTAATGTCTGGAGTGAGTGCCTGAGGCTAAGTTGGCTGGGGCTGAAATCAAGCAGATTCCCCCCCAGGCTGATTTTGGCTGGAGATAATGTTGGGAGCAGGTGCCTGAGGCCAAGTTGGCTGGGGCTGAAATTGACCATAATGCTCACAGTGCGGCTTAGGTTGTCAGGAGGCTGAGCTTTTGGCTAGCACTGAAATCATGGAGTGTGCATTGTAAAAGTGATGGCTGACCATGGTTAATCTTTTCAGGAAGTTATGGCATCTAATATGACTTAACCATGCAGCATTGCTGGCGTCAGCTATAATAAGAGTTTCATCTAGAATTTAGAGGGCAGTGCCACCTGCCTTGCGGGCTGCTTTAAGCTGAAGGATTCTGCTGTGATCTGGGCCCTGATTAATAACAAGCCAGCAACTAAGGATATTATCTATGGATATATCTATGTCCACGCCAATAACTATGACCATACTGGCAAGATTAAAGGCGCGGTCAAGAATACTGTTGTGGACTGGTTGCAGGATGCTAATGTGCTCCCTGTCTTGCTAGCCCCAGCAGCGCTACACATTGGTGTCCTGGGTGTTAAAGACATACAGATCCCAGAGCTGACGGTCCTCTGGTTTATTATGCAACTAATAAGAGCTAAGGGCTTGCTCTTCCTGCGAAGTAACCTCTCTACTAATCCCCTAGTCCTTAATCCATATGACATCCTGCACAGCTGGAAGTTGCTGGCCTTTATATAGAAACAGATCCAAGGTGGTAAAAAGACTAAAAATAAGCCTTAAGTGAACCTAGCACTGGAGCCTATCTACCACAACCTAAACCTAACTAACCTGAGTATTGGCCCTGGCTAAGATCAGCCTAACTCCCTGTAGCCTGATATAGTTGCTGCTAATATATTTAGTGGCGGCCATAATGATGTCAACATATATATTGCAGTGAGGGAGCATGCTAATTAGGGCAACCTTACTATACTTAATAACTATGACATAGTCTAGGAGAGCCTTGAACGCATCTTCAGGTTAGACTATGCCAGGAACAAGGCGGTGATCACCCAGCCTCTAATAATAAAATTAGAGCAAGAGCTCTTATGCTCTTATATAATGGGGATGGATAACTTCAAGAGCAAGCTTATTATTCACAAACCCGCTGACACGTTGGTGGGGGATTCAGAGACCTAAGTCTTCCTAAATTAGCTGGCGGCTGCTAGTAATACATCAGAGATAGTTGCGCTCACTGTGAGTGAGGCGGGCAGAACTAAGACTAAGCAAGCTAAGGAGGGCAAGCTTAGTAATGCTAAGGGGTAGATGACCCTCTCTGCTGACCTGCCTTCATACAACTGTGCCTGTCAGGAACTTACACTTAATCTACTAAACCCCCTTCTGGTGGTCCCTTCAAATATGAACCAACCAGCCACAACCCTTAAGAAATGGCAAGTCTCAGGGGCATGTTGGATGCTTTACTAAGAAGCAAGCCTAGTTACCACAGGCATCCTTGCCGATGCCTGTGGCACTAGCAAAATAATGACAACTATTGCAGCAATCTAGTATGCGTCTATTTGAGCAGAGAAGGACCCAACACATGCCTATAGACTAATAATCATTCTCTGTCCATCTGCCCTCATTGACACTTGGCTGACTGAGCTGACAGTGAGGTTAGGTGATGTGTTCACTATCCTTCTCTTCTACAGGCTCTCAGCCTATACTTTGAATTACACACATAAGTCCCTTACCATCGATACACTTGCAGACCTGGAGGAATAACTTAGGTGGCTTGATGACCATGATGTGAAGACATTGTGAATAATTATCCTCTCATTATATAGTACCTGGGCCGCACGCACCGTGACTGAAGTGACCAAGGTTGATGGCAAAGGCAAGGGCCGCCAGGTTGACGGAGCTGAGGATGGTGAGGATGAAAACCCTAATAAGAATACACTAGCTATAGAGCAGTTGGCACTATTACAGGATGCAGCTGAAATGGGCAATGATAGAGATATAGATGAGCTAGAGGATTTTGGCTCTAGCTGAAAAGCACAACTAGGAAAGTAATATAAGTTAGTGGCGTCTGGATGGTTTAGCTATATAGTCTGTAATAAGGGCCATATGGCTAAAACTATCTAGATATATATGCACTAGTCAGTCAGTCTGCTCAAAGCCCCTATATTTGGTTTCTGACTGCAACGCCCCTTTACAACTGCGCCTTTAATCTCTGTGGTTATCTCACAATCATCTCCTCGAGCTTATGTGGTGCTGTTAACACCAATAATGCTAACTTTAATTAGTTCTTAGAGTATAAGTGCTTTACTGAGATGGACTGACTCCCAACCCTACTACTATATAATCTCCTCCAGCCGAAGGCATTTGTTAGTCTTTTTGAGAAGGGGCATCTAGCGCCCCAGGAGGCCTACTGGGCCCTGCCCATCATCATACACATGATCTGCCTCCAGAGAGACATAGGGGATCCTGTCAACATCTCCAACTTAACCGCCTTGATTAGTAATGAAATCCCACCCATGTGGATAATATTAGTGGATGTTCAGCACCCCCTAAGGGTGCTTGAGGAGCACCATGTCTGGTTCATCCAGCTGGTTACAGAGATGAAATGCAGCGGCGCCCTAGATAAGGAGGCACATCACGCTGGTGCCCCTGGCAGTGACAGCTAGGGGCACCTTAACTGGTATATAATGTGCCTCCTATATTACCTATTATTCTCACCACTGCTGGATAACTATTACTAAGTAGCTAATGTGGAAACTAACACCATGGCCCTAGCAATAGCAAAGGCAGTGGACTGGGGTGATAGAGGGTTTACTAATTTTTGGTGGAGAATAATGCCTGGCGTGAGGAATATAATACCTATAATATAGGTAGGGGTGGCACATTACCTGTTAGTAGACTGTGTGAAGCTCAGATACCTCTTTCGCATTTTCTAACAGGAGGGCCTATGGCGGAACCTAACTAGTAAGTAACCCTGTTTTTTGATCTTCTATCACTGGCTAATGGTAATGTGGATGGTGGAGATGTTTTTAGATGTAATTAGTGTCCTATATATTACTATCCAGGCCTAGATGGGAGAGGCGGCCTGCTGGGAGGCTGCTGCTGAGTTTACTGACTCCTAATCCTCTTACTGCATCCTGCTCACATCCTACTAATATAAGGCCCATGGCCTCAACCTCCACATGGAGTGTAGCTGCATGATCCTCCTTAAGCCACCCTTGAATCTTAATATGCTTTTTCAGGTGGTGGGATGCGTCTACTGCCTTAGGCAGTGAAGCAGCCAGAAGGTGTGGTCTATCTTCTAAGAGCATACTATATCTAGATGGTTGGAGTGTAATAACACACTTAAGGCCCTCCTGTAATTCTTGGCGCAACTATATGATCTACTAAAGCCTATGGTCATGGCAGCATGGGCGAAGGATGATGGTGAAGACAAGCAAGCTGCTGACTAGGCTGAGGCTGAGGTCATCCAGTGGGCTGCAGTGGATTATCTCTGCTGTATGCTTGGGCAGCCAGCCAGTTAGCTAAATGTTGAGCACCTGGATGACCTCAGCCTACTATAGTGAGATCTGGACTGGATGAAAGCCCGCATGACGCCTAGGGGCTGTAAGAGAGAGAGAGTTAGGCAGGATTCACTAACTAAGGCCTGTGCGCGATGAAAGTGCACCAAGGCTATGGCTAGTAAGGTAAAGTACCACCTATCTAACACTTGCCCCTCCGCCTTTTGACCAGAGCTGATATTCAGCCAGTGGTTTGGCTCTGGCTGAAAAGCCTGGGATTGTGAGTTCGTCTGTGTAACTAAAACTGACTGGTGATATAGTATAAATCTACTAAGTATGTGGTCTTGGACTCTAAGAAAGGGTCCCCTACTAAGGAGAGCAGCTATAGTAAGTCTGAAGCTGGCTACTTAGGTTTAGATGTGGATAGTGGCAGAGACAGCCCTGGCCTTAGTAATAGGGGTTGTCGCCCCGGCTCTCCCTATAATAATAACAACAACAGCAATGGGGATGACCACAGTGACAGTGGTTAGGGCCCTATCTCTTAGGATGATGATGATGATGAAAATGTTGATAATGATAAGCTATAGTAGTTGGAGCTAGTATGCCCCCTATATTCATTCCTTACACTTCCCCTTAACATGGATATTAAGCTAACCTTAGGCTTTAGACTCATGCGCGGCAGCTGGTAAGGCTGCAGAGAGTTATTAGGGGTGGTGATCTGACTACACCACCCCCTAGCTAGCAGGGAGTGATTGGAGTGAGTGCTATAGGAGTGATTAAGGTCTTAGGAGAGAGCTCTCTGCTTAGCTCTACACCACCCATAGTGCTATAGTCTCCAAAGTCTAATACCCTATGTGGATCACCCCCTGACTGCTAGTCACCCTTCCTCCTGCCTTAGGTGCCCCCTGCGCAGCCTATGACCTAGAAATGTAAATAATAGTAGCTAGTTAGTAAGTCTTCTCCCTTACTCCCCTGCATGCTGCTGTTCCTCATAGGCACTAATAATTTTTCAGAGGTGACAGCAGTAATGGGGTGGCCTTAGTGATGCTAGTAAAAGGCTGTGTGGTATAAGGTCTGATCTTAGTATGCATCTTCTACTTTTAGCCAGGGCTGAAATCACTGGATTATCTCTAGCAGCCTTTGCATGGCTTTCATTTCTACTGCCTTCTTGATTAGTGACTGCCATGGTTTGCCATTCATTTAGTGACTGCATCTGCAGTATTATTGCTTAAGTGTTTGCCGCCATCCCTATCCATCTTCCAAAGTTCAAGCATGTATATACCCTAGCATCTACTTTTGGCCAGGGCTGAAATCACTGAATTATCTCTGGGTGGCCTTTGCACAGCTTTTATTTCTGCCGCCATCTTGATCAGCCACTGCCATGGTTTGCTATTTGTTTAGTGACTATATATGCAGTATTATGCTCTGTGTTTACCACTATCTCTACCCTTCTTCTGAAATTTGAGCATGTAGCTACATAACTTTTGGCTGCTGCCTTATTATTCCCTTATGGCTCACCTGGTGTCACTGTGGGGGTTGATCTTTTCATAGCTAGATTTAGAGAAGGCTTTGCAGAGAGTACTGGTCTTCCTTTTATCCTCTCTCCTTGGTGCTGTTGGTGCTCTGGGCTTTTGATGATTAACTAGCATTGGGTATTAGGATGATTGTTATTTACAAGGGTGGGTGGTGGGTTTTGTTACATAGCATGGATGCCCTAGTCTAATTGTTATTTATTCCAGTGTAGATTAATGATTAATCCTATGGGTTAGCTGCAGGGCGTTATTTGCACCAGGCCATGAATTATTAGTGTGGGTGGAGGAAGAATGGGAATCCCTAATAGTAGTAGTCTTCTAAAATATATTTCCGCACGCACATGGGTAGTGGAGTTTTATGAGGTTACCCTATAAGAAAGACCTTCCTGCCCTGCTTTGTATATTATCCAGCACTGTTGTTGATTGAAGGCTCTCCTGAGAAGGGGTAGTCTTCATCCTCTGTAATGGTGGTAATAGTAATAGTAGTAATAGTAGTGATTGGGGTAATTTATTAGGATCTCAAGCCATCCTGAAGGGTGGGAATTGTTAGGGGTAAAAACTTAATGAAATGTATATATTTCTAGGGGATTAGGGGGCAAGACCCAGGTCACCTAACTATAAGATGGTAGGGTGAGGGCAGGAGGAAAGTTATGGAGATTGATCCTTGGTCTAGAGAGTGAACCTTACTGTGTACTTCTTAGAAACTTTTAATCCTACTTCCCACTATATAGATGAGGATGGTTGATCGATTGATCCATCCATCATCCTAATGTGTAGGATGGATTAATTAATTCATAATTAATTAATCATGGTGGGGTTGTGTGACTGGCAAAGATGCTCTTAGGGTGAGGATAATACTTATAACTAACAAGACTCCTGCTTAAGGGAACTTCAACTCTGGAGTAGACATGGACTCTAGAGTGGATGTGAATTATAACTAATTAAGCTGCACTCTGCACTCTGTGTGGACCTGACCTTCTGCTCCGCCCTACTAACTTTAGTATAGGGCCTGAGGGTCTATACTTCTTGCAGAGAGTCATCTTAGCAGACCCCAACAAAAAATCTCAATATGTTGACCATACAGCTTTCCCCCCTGGTTTGACCACCTTCCCAGTGAATATCCTTGAATCTAATACTGGAATGTTATAATGCAGTGGATTTGCATTATTAAATGATTTTTAATCATCGAAAAAGATGAAGATTTGATGGAGAGATGGGCGATTCCTGTGGAGTCTAGGAGCGACTATGGAGTCCCACCGTGGAGTCCGGACTGGATGGGGAATGGATGTGGAAACTGCGGTCACCAGGCCCTGCGGTCAGCCCTATTTAGTATGGGAACTGTGGAGTCCGCGCACAACACCGCTAGTAGGCCTAGCTTAGTGTATTAAATATTCAGATCTGATTGGTGCATTATCTTATCTAGCTTCATCTTATCTTATAGCTTGATGAGCGTTTGCCTCACCATCTCCTGCTTCTTGATGATATGCCAGTGATTATGGCTGACCATTGATTGGATCGCTTGCCATACTATGCTTAGGCTGTTTGCATCTTTGTCATACTTTCTCTCCTCATGATCATAGTGCCTGGAGATCTCCTGCCAGGCAGATTGTTCATCTAATGTTATCTTGTTAATTAGCTTTGCTGGCTGCGGCATGACTGGTTCTGCCAGCTTCTCAACAGCAATCGTCTGATTGTCTGGATCAACATATTTCCAGACCCATTTCTGCTCAGCGAGCATTTGAATGTATCCAATCCATGCCCACCAATCGTCTGGCCGATCCAGAATGATTACCCTCTGAGTGGGCACGGAATCAGTGGTGATCGAATAGTCAGGCATATCGGCTTGCTAGGGCGCTGAGATACCCGTTGCGAATGGGCCTGTTGCGAATGGCCTCACTCCCTTGTTGGTGTGGTATCTGATAGCAGTCGATCAAACTGGGCTCATAACTGTCAACCGATCCCCGTTGATAGTGAATCTATGGTAATCGCTAGTAAACAGTATGATTCGGGATGAATGAAGGTCTAATTTCTGGTAATCTAGATATCTAACTAACTACTTATAATCGACTAAATGAAAACTCTGTAAAATCTCCTCAATCCGGCGAGTTGAATCCATGGTAGAATCCAGCGATCTGATTGGCCCAGCCAGAATTCGGTTAAATATCGATATCCGATACTCTCCGGATTCGATAGCGGGAAGATATGGTTGACACACTGTCATTCAAGTAAAGGTTCTTTGTATCTAGCATGGAGATCAGAGCAACGACAAGATGAATCTTACCTAGAGCTGTATATTAACGGCAAGCGAGCGCATCGACGATCAAATCGGTTTTCCTTAAGTGGTGCTCCTATGTGCCGCATGTATTAAGACATAGATGACTGGATGGGACATTGCTGAGTTTACCTGACTATCAAGATTGCAGTATACGCTGGTTGCACCTGGATTTTGCGCCGGCGGTAAAGGCATGCAGAACGGTTCCAGCAAGGGTGGGAGGAATGTACCTTAATCATATTGATGGACATCTGGCCGAGAGAAAACTGATGAGGTTATTACTTTCCCACATTGTTGTAAAGATAAAACATATAGCAGCTCTGTGCTCTACCACGTCTTTCCTTCATTGCTAAGGAACCGCGTCAAAACTAAGTGGCCTAAGGACTCTCCACTTTTAGGAAATAAGTACAAAAGAGCGTCTAAGAGCAATATTGCATCCAGTCAGTGGTTTTCGTGTACAATCACAGAGGCACGATAAATTCACCATTCAACACAGACTATCATTTTAAACAGATACAAGAAATAATATAGGGATGTGCATACTTGTCAATACTATAACTGCGGTACCAGGAAAGGAAAGGTTAGTGACAGTTTGAGGTGACGTGTAGCAAGGATCGTTGGCATTAAGAGTCCACATCCACCTTCCCAGACTCAAGCAGTAGCTTCACCACTGACTCATGCCCATTCTGTGCTGCCCATGACAGCGGAGTCCCATTCTGATTATCCTTGGAATCCACATCCACCTTCCCAGACTCAAGCAGTAGCTTCACCACTGCCTCAAACCCCTTCTCTGCTACCCATGACAGTGGAGTCCGATTATAAATGTCCCTGGAATCCACATCCACCTTCCCAGACTCAAGTAGTAGCTTCACCACCGCCTCATGCCTGTACTCTGCTGCCCATGACAGCGGAGTTCCATAATACTCAGAGTCCTTTGAGTTCACATCCACCTTCTCAGACTCAAGCAGTAGCTTCACCACTGCCTCACGCCCATACGTTGCTGCCCATGATAGTGGAGTCCGATTCTGACTGTCCTTGGAATCCACATCCACCTTCTCAGACTCAAGCAGTAGCTTCACCACCGCCTCATGCCCGTACTCTGCTGCCCGTGACAGTGGAGTCTGATTCTCAAAGTCCCTGGAATCAACATCCACCTTTCCAGTATCAAGCAGTAGCTTCACCACCGCCTCATGCCCGTACTCTGCTGCCCGTGACAGTGGAGTCTGATTCTCAATGTCCCTGGAATCCACATTCGCCTTCCCAGTATCAAGCAGTAGCTTCACCACTGCCTCATACCCATGCCTTGCTGCCCAATGCATCGGAGTACTATGCCTAGAGTCCTTAGAATTCACATCCACCTTCCCAGACTCAAGCAGGAGCTTCACCACTGCGTCATGCCCATTCATTGCTGCCAGTAATAGTGGAGTCTGATTCTCCAAGTCTCTGGAATCCACATCCACTATCCCAGTATCAAGCAGTAGCTTCATCACCGCCTCATGCCCTTTCTCTGCTGCCCATGACAGTGGAGTTTGATTCTGGCTGTCCTTGGAATCCACCTCTGCCTTCCCAGTATCAAGCAGTAGCTTCACCACTGCCTCATACCCATGCCTTGCTGCCCAATGCATCGGAGTACTATGCCTAGAGTCCTTAGAATTCACATCCACCTTCCCAGACTCAAGCAGGAGCTTCACCACTGCGTCACGCCCATTCCTTGCTGCCCATGACAGCGGAGTCCGATGATACTCAGAGTCCTTTGAGTTCACATCCACCTTCCCAGACTCAAGCAGTAGCTTCACCACTGCCTCACGCCCATACCTTGCTGCCAGTAATAGTGGAGTCTGATTCTGAAAGTCCCTGGAATCCACATTCACGTCCCCTCTCCCAATCAAGTAGGACATTAACTGTGGTATACCAAAGAAAGCTACTATATGCACAGCAAAAACCTCATCCTGTATGTCTTCAGAATGGACATTTGTGTACATGGCTTGATATAATAAGTGAAAGCTCTCGTAACTCTTCCCAAACCTGGTGTCGAGGTACTCTATAGCGAGCTCCATCGGCACATCTGGCACGCCAGGTTGCTCACTGTTTCGAAGATGGTGGCCCCATTGTGTAGCAGCGTAAGACAAACATGTGATTGCACTGCTGCCCTGGTCCAGAGCATCTCCAGCTCTCGTGGATGGAAAGTTGAGAACGGTAAGGCATGTCCTTGCAATCTTGCTGTGCCATTGCGCTTTGGTGAGGCCAAATACCTGCTGTTGCTGATGGAGATATTCCTCAAGGGAGTAATGGACCAAACGGATAGTGGATGTCTCGGTGTCAATCGTGGTTAAGCCATGGCAGGAATTTAGCAGTGTTTTTTTAATGGGCATTCCCCTCCGATCAAAAAATGTGTCGCCATCTCTAATTGCAAGTGAACATAATAGTTCATCCACAGTGACTGGCCGTTCAGCTAAATACACCCATGCAATGATCTTTGCTGCCTGCTCAGACAATGCCTTTGGCTGCTGCTCAATTCTACTGATTGTACCAGCAAATGCCTCACTGAGGTTTGATGGTAATGATTTCAAGGCATCTTCGCGAGCCCGTATGGTTATAGCTTGTAGGATAGAGCGCATTTGCAAAGTAGGCAGTAGAAATCTAATCCGTAGTCAGCATTGGTGCCAAAGTACTGCCGGGCATGTCCAAAGTAACTAACATGTTCTCAGCTGAGTCAACAACTCTCTTTAGGATGGCTCTTCTGAGCTCGTCATCCATTGCGTCAGGTTCTTTATCATCAGGTCCACCTATCGCATGTTCAATATATAGTCGAATATCGCTTTCGTGAGCCTTAATAGGGATAATCTGCGCTTCTTTGAAGTATTGCTGGATAGTCTCCCGAACCTGGGGCCGGCCAGTAATGAATATCTTCAAGGAAGAAGCCCTGTCACGCAAAGACTGTAAAAGTCTTTGCAAGTCTCTGAGTTCGTCAAGTGCGTCCAGGCAAATATATGCCGTGGTAAATTGCGCGCAGGTAATGCGGAGGAGATCAACTGTATCAGTCAAGCTCAATGGCTTCCCTTGACGGACCCGTTCTTCATACAGTTTCCAAACAGCTTCGGGTATTTCTGCTAGAAGGGCTAATAGTTGTTTCAGAATTGCGCCAAGGATATTTTCTGTGGTTTGCTCTTTCTGATCACGGTAATCGCAGTAAATATATGCCAGCCCCGTGTGCTGGGCGATTTGTTTTTCCAAATTATCAATCACATTTGACCTATTCCAAATTGTCAGTGTCTTCAGCAAATGACAAGAATTTCCTACCCACGTGATAATTGTTTTGCCTGCTCCTGGATCTCCGTAGCAGCATAGCGTTTGACACTGCCCTTTCTGTGAGAACCAACCAAGGAACTTGGGGTCCTCAAACAGCCATGCACCCGTGCCGACAGCCCTGGACTTTTGGTTTTCGACGTGTCGAGCCCATGGGTTGAGTGGAGACATCCATTTGAAGACATCTCGCTGCTTTTGATCTAGATGCTGTTTCTTTTGATCCATCGCCAGTCTTTTGGTAACTGACTCGATTTCCTGCACTATATCTCTGAATCAGCCAAGGGTTTCTTGAATCCATCAAAAACCATGTTAACATTTAGTTTGCTAGTTAAGCAGAAATCAAGTGTCTCCACTACCTAGGCAAGCTTTGTAATAGACGACAACATGAAAATGAAGGGCCAATGGCTAACACTTACGTATAAACACTCGCGCCTCTGGTGTGCTCTGGATATCTGCAGCGTTGGTAATCTGGAGAAGTTCCTTCGCATATGCGGCTGCTGTAGCTGCAGCGTACTTCTGCCACAGATCATTCTTATGGGTATCACAATAGTCGCAGATGCCCCGGATGACGAGACACGGGAAGTCGTTCAACAAGCCAGCAGCTTCTGTTTCAAAACACAGGCAGTTATTTGCCATCTGATCCCGTTTTCGTGCGTCCTTGATGACCTGGTCCCCAGATGCAATCGTGCCGTAGTGGATATAGGGGTATTGGTCAGGTCGCTCTGGGCGTACCACCTCTTTCTCAGTGTTGCAATCGCTACAATCTTTCTTGCTGGCTTCATGTTCATAATCTGGCTGGAATAGCCGATCACGATTTGGCCCTTGGTAGATGTAACCCGGCCTGTGTCGCGGTTTCGCCATCAATGGATAGTCCTTGTACATAGCCTCCAATATGGCAGGCACAGTGCTCCCTTTTTTTTCATGTTTTGCTTGAAGTGCGCCCATAGCGTTGAGCAAGACCCGTGGCGGGGAGTTTAATGCGCCACGCTCCTCAAAGCCATGAACTGTAGCTTTTCCGCAGTCATACTGTCTAACACCTCCAAAGGTGCCTTCGGGTTTGCTAACCACAATGTCGCCAAGTCTTATGTCGTTGTCAGTGCTCGGTATACCACCACCAATCCCTACCATTAATCCGAATTTGACGGCTGTGAAACTGGAGAGCATCTGTGTGGCAGCGGTGGCAGCAGGCGTTGTCCCGTATCTGCCGGGCGGGAGGCTGGTAATAACCACATTGTGCTTGCCATTTGGGCCATTTATGGAGCCTAGCGTGTATATATTATGGTCATTCATGTGTTTGTGCTGCGGTGGTGCATGCTCCTCATCCAGCATTGCCTCAGCAGCGGCCCTTTCATGGGGTAAGGCGGCTATCCATCCAACGGCATATTTGGAATTGTCGAACTGCGGCAACTTAGGGGCCATGGTATCTGCACTCTATATGAGAGCTTCGCAGGAAGTAGACACCAGTATTAGCCACGAAAGTTGGACAGAGGAGAAGAGTTTCCGTGATTCACTGTCGGGGACGTGGCCGATAGCAAGAGCGATAAATATGTTGAGAGTCAAATCACCTTTGGGCGTGGGCCACTGTCTTATACTGTCCTCATATGCACTTGTAGCAAATGCGGGGTGTTGTGTAGTTGGGTAGTCGTGGTGCAACGTGGCGCGAAACCAACCACTGCTTGTCAATATTCGAAATCGCCATTGGGCAGACGGACACCTACAGAAAAGACTCCGGCCGCAAGGCTGAAGTCAGCATCTTCGGACTTCCGACGGCGGATATTTAAGGGATAATAGAGCTTCCCTCTAAAGAATCAATTTATACCCAATCATCCAACGCACATAGTGTGATGACAGGTATTATGGTCCGCTGGCTGCCAGGGCGGACACCTGAAATCCCCGAACAATACATTACCATAATATCCACCCTACGCGTTGACATCAAATATATGCTTCTTAGTATTAAAGGTCACTCCGCTAGTGATATCGGCTACATACTCAAGCAGATTGGCTACCAAAGAAAATGGCCAAGCCAAGGTTGCTTATCATCCTCGCGACCGCCCTTCCTCAGCTGCACTCCAGCATCGAACTTGCAAAGCGTGCATGGCCATTGTTGGCCCACAGTTCTGACAATCGGCCAATATCGGGGACGCGAATATGAGCCGAGCGAGGCTTTGTAATGTTCGACTTAGGGATGCAATACACCATGGATCTTGGAATATGCAGAGCGGTTTCGAGGTTCTTTCAGGCCAAATGTAAAACAAAATCCTTCAATGTTTGAACTTGCGAGACCGTTAAGTGATAAGACATCCGGATGGACTCTAGAAATTCAAAGACACAGAAGTCTTTCTCGAGCCTGGAGGAATATTTCTCACTTCTTCTCATTGTAAATTTCCTGTGGACCACGAACTAGTCTGGCTGGTAATTCATACTGATTTGTGGCAGGGGCTGACTACTATCGGGTGAAGCCTTCAAAAACGGACCGGGACATGCTCATTTTACTGAGGGAGGAATAGGCACGCGTAAACAGCAAGTTGCTCCTGCGCCTCAGCTTGGGCTCGTTTTATAAATCAGGGAAGGACATCTGGAAGCGGACGGCGTGAGCTATCTATTATATGTTCTCTTACCCCTGGATGACTTGGTAGACGCCAAGCCACAATCGGACTGCTGACTCACCTGCGTGATGACCTGCATCGTGTCTTCTGATTTGTCTGGCGGACATGTTGAGTGTAAGATTGAGACTTGTGAGAGCAAAAGTTAATGACCAATTTAGTGTTGACTTAGCACACTAACTAAAGAACTAGACCCAAAATCAAAAGAATCTTTCAAGCTAACACCAGCCTAATCGGCCGCCAGTGGAAGCGACGCGCCCAAATGAGATCACAGAGAAAAGCCATGATTCTGATGAGTTACTTTTTCTTCAGCCTCTCTGAACTCCCTTCCAGCCTGCCTAAGTCTCCGCAGCGTGTACTTATAACCATTAGATCATCACCAGACGTTGACCTTCAGCGTGTTCTCGACTGATCCAAGGCCACTGTGTTTGCAAGTCAGTAAGTCATTCAAAACACGTGCCTAATTCAAGTATGCACCTGAATGTAGACCTAGGCAAAACCCAACCCGGAACACCCCCTTGAGCCCAAAACCCAGCCCAGGTAAAACCCAGAACACCCCCCAGAGCCCAAGCCCAGCCCAGAACCCAACTAGGCTACCCAGTTGAGCTACCCAGGTTATTTTATTTTAGTATAATTTTCCTAATTAAGCCATGCTAAGACACATAATTCTGCTGACTAACTTAAATAAAATACTGTTATTTACACCCATTCCAGTTACCTCTGTGGTTTTGATTAATATATAGTCCTTAAACATACAAAATCTGAAGTAATTCGGCTGTCTCTTAATAAATTAACACTGGTAATCATCTATTATCTAAGTCTTAAGATAATATTATTATGTTGTGGTGGTTAATAAGCTATATATATAAAGGTACTCTTAATGACTATAGAAATATATTTAAACTGCAGAGTATTATTAGTGGTTATGTGGTGAGAGTATATTATTATATTAATTAGTACATTAGCTAGCTTAGACTGGCTGACCCAATCCGCAAATCCATATCCAACCCACCCAATCCGCACTTTGGGTTGGATGGGGGTCGACTCTGATCCAACCCATATCCATATGGGTGGATGGCATCCTACCCATATGGATATGGGTAACCCATTGGGTGCACATGACCGGCAGAATAACAGATATTCATAATATTCTCTTAAAGAGAGGTCTTTCTACCTACTAAAAGTAGTATAGTCTAAATTCTTAGGTCTTTCCGCCTACCAAAAGTAGTATAGTCTAAAATCACGTGTATAATATGGGTAGAATGGTTATCCACAACCCAATCCGCATGGATATGAGGGTGGGTTAGACAGGTGGTGGATCAACCCAAAACCCATGCGGGTTGGATTGAACCCCCTGCGGATCCATCCAAACCCAACCCACGACCAGTCTAAGCTAGCTGCACTAAGTTTCTTCCTTCTTTAGTAATCCTACTTTCTTCCTTCATAGCCTATTAGGATGGTTAGAGTACAGCCCTAGCTGGGATATTCTTGTCATGGGCAAGAAAAGCTTGAACTTTAATGAATATTAGAGGAAACTGGGTTTTCTGGATATCATGGGCCTATTCTAGAACATATTCTAGGTGATCTGTTGGGTAGCCCAGAAAACCTAGTGTATCTAGATAGTACTATCTAATTATACTACCTCTTCTATCCATAAGAGGGTCAAAATATGATATATTAATAACTTTAATTTAGCTAGTAGCTAACTAGTACGCCCTCCATCTTTCATCTAAATATTTTATTTCTAGATATAAAGATTTCTATAAGTTAATTATTACTTACTTTACTCTCCCCCTAGCATATATTTTACTATATCTTAATTCTTAGACTCTTTCACTCCATCCTTATATGGATCTAATAATATTAACACCTTCATAAATATCCTATAAGATAGTCTTACACCTAATCTTTCTCATAGCTAACAGAGCTTTAATTCAGATAATGATTATTCTATATTTTAAACTCTAGTACCACTACTACACCCTCCCTCCAGCGCGTTGGGCCTGATTGTAAGAAATCCTATGTGCTTTATACTATGATGTTAAAGATAGAATTTATTAAATAGTGGCTTAGAATAGAGTATAGAGTAAAGAAGAGAATATATTAGGATAGTAATAGGCACTCTTTAAGCATGTGGGACAGCTTTAATTAAGTTACTTAGGCCAGTGATAGTAAAGCAAAGCTTATATATAAGAAATATAGTGGTATTCTTAATCATCCCTATAATAATAAGCATAGCACATTAACTATGGCAAGGCATCTAAAAGGATCATAATACTGTGGTATCTCTGCTAATTATATAAAGTAGAAAGGCATTATGTTACTTATATAGGACGTGGTAAGCTATCTTAGTATCTATTATATATTAACTAATTTTAATAGCTATAATATCTTGAAACTACACTAGTTTTCTCTTAGTAAGCATGGGAGGAGAAGCTCCTAACCTTTATTATAAGGGTAAAGCTTCCTTTTTAACTTATTAAATACTCTAAATTTTAAGAATTAATTAAATTTACTTAACTTGCTCCTTTATAGCCTAATATTCCTTCCTCCTAAACCATGCGACGGCGGTTACAGGAAATAACTAAGATATAGTAATAAAAGATACTTAATAGACTTCTATCTAGTATAAAGCTATTAATTACCCTTAATTACTAGATATCTCTATTTTAATAGGCTTTTATAGCAATCACAGGATATTTTATTAATAATAAATAAAATTATTAAGAAATTTTACTTAGTTTTAAACTGCTTCATGGATCTCACTTAGATACTAACCTAAGTACTATTCTTTTTAACCTGCTTTAGTAGTATGAGATTACAGATTATATACTTTCTATTATAATAGATAATGTATTAAATAATATTACATTAATAGAAAGTATATAAGATTTAATCTAGTTAAATTAAATTAGTACTAATACTATAATTATCTATATTCCCTATATTATGCATGTAATCTAGCTCAGTTTATAGAAGCTTCTTAGTTAGATAAAAGCTAATCTAAAGAATAAGATAACTAAGATTAATTAGTCAGAGGCCTAATCATAGTTACTGTAAGTAAGATAGTAAAAGTAAGAGATTATTAATACCCTTAATAAAGTAAGTCTCTTTATAATATAGTATTTAGATTAGTATATTAATTATTATAATATTACTAGGTAAGGGTGCTTATAATTTTTATTAATACAAGCCCTTAATATTATAAAGCCTTCTATAATCTCTAGACTAGAGCACCAAAGCTTATACTAATCTAAGATATTAGGACTTACTAGAATTCCACCTTCTTAATACTCTAAAGAGCAAAGAAACTATAGCTAATCTTTAATTAGTTCTACTTATAAAATAGCTATGATTACTTAATACTTAACTAAGAAGAATAGTGCTAGATTAAGTATCTTCTTTAGATTACTTAATCATTCTTTAAATTTACTACTATACTCTCTTAAATAAAAGATGTGACTATCTATGTTATCTTTAGTATCTATAATAAACTTTTTAATTATCTTAAAGCATTAATTTATTAGCTTTAATAGAAGAAAGTAGCCTAGAAGAAGCTTATGCTTAATACTCTCTATATAGTAAAGGAGAAGCTATCTATCTACTATAGGGAAATAGATAAGATCTATAGTAATCTATTTATAATTAGGATAATCCTTACACTGCAAAACAAGCTTTAGTTCTTTAGTAATAAGGATTGGGCCCTGAATTATATAATTAATATTACAAAAGCTTTAAAACCTATATAGGTCTCTATAAGGAATGCTTATTAGCTATATAGAGCTTACTATAGGTATTATCTTTGGGTATTTAAATATTAAAGATTAATGCACTTTTTGCTCCTAATTTTAATTAATTAGTAAGTACTAATAAGACTATATAGTACCTTAAGAGTAGTAAGTAATATTAGTATTCCTGCTAATACTCTACTAATTAATATTATCTAATAGAGACAGCCCTAATTACTCTATAGATATTCTAGAAAGAGTATGAATATAAATTTCTAGCTCTTACAAAAATAGCATGTAATATACTCTTAATACCTACTACTAGTGCTAGTATTAAGCAGCTTTTTAATTCTACTTAAGATATCTACTATTATTATTAAGGCTTACTTAATTCTATAATAATCTAAGATCTAATGCTATTTATATATATATTAAGATTTAAAGTAGAAGAGAAGGAACTTTCCCTTATAAAATAATATCTTTTAAATAAGGAATAGCAAGCCCTTAATAAAGAGAAAGATGCTTAATAGCTTTAGAATACCCTTAAGCTAATTAGTGATAATGAAGAAGATGATAGCCTGGAGATTAGTATAGATTAGCTAGCTACCTAGTAGCTATCTAAGCATGCACAGGGTAAGAGATAAAGCAGTATAGTATCTAATAATAAGTAAGAGGGTTAGGAACCTTTTCTATTAGATAATAAAGTAGTTCTTCCCTTACCTAATATATAATAGTGTATCTCTGGATGAAATTAGAAGTATACAAGGTGTGAGGATGATTAGTTCCTTTATTATTAGTTATTAGTTTTATGGGCTAACCTATGACACGCACTATATTATATATATAGCTATGATTATATAGTGATAGTTAATTATTATAATAATTAGTATATTAGTTATATATACTTAGCTTCTCCCTTCTTTAGCAATAGTTAGAGTATAGCCCTATACTAGGATTCTGGCCTGCTTATATTTATATATATAGTTTAAATACCTATAAATATAAGACAAGACTACATAATTAATGCATATCACATGATCTGTGATGTTTATCTAGTTTATCTACCTAACTGGGTTACCCAAAACCCAGCTAGGTTCTATATAAAAGCCCAGAACCCAACTCAGAACACACCCCTTAAGCCCAAAACCCAGCCCAAGTTGGGTTTGACACATGTTTCAGTTGGGTTACCCGGAACACCTGCCCAGGTCTACCTGAATGAGACTGGGAGCTAATAGTCCCATTGATCCAGTCTTATCAAACATACTACTGACTCTACCGTGCGGTGATCTTCCCATATCAGCTGCACGACAGCTTCTGCGTTCTGAAGACATGTAAAATCCTCATCCTTGAACACCAGTAAAGGGCCATTGTAAAGAAAATTATCTCCCTTATCAAAGAGGATCTGGTGAGCTGTCTCCACATTGAACCATTTCAATATATTATATACAACAGTCACATTCTTAAACCATGCACCATCGGCCATATCCTGACTTTTCTTGCACTCCTGAGGCGCCTCTTCTCTGATCATTCGCAGTGCCCCGTGAGGACAGATCTTTATGGAATCTTTCCTTACCATGAGCCCGTTTTTTAACGTTTTCTTGATGCTAGCTAAATAGGTCTGACTAGCTTCTTTTGCCACCTCAGGTTTCCCTGAGATTGCACACTTTTTAACCCACTCCTTGAGAGGCAAAAAGTATTCCGCACTGCAGCGATGGCAGCTGTGGAGACTGCTGAAATGATGCTTTTTCATCTGTCCTGTTTCAAATGCTTGAGAAATCTCTGGTAAGCAGGTGCTTCCCAATAAATCTTGAAGGTGAAGCTTTGGGGATGGAGAGAGGCAGAACACGCCCTTTTCGAGTCAATGATCTGACTATATATCTCTAGTGATTGTTTACAAAACCTTCGCCCCTTCATTCTTCCCGTTCTCTATTCATTGTTGGGTCCTCTTCCTGGCAAGATCCGCTGGAATGAATTGTCTTGAATGCTCCATTCCTCCCATCCCACGGCAATTTCCTCATTCACGCGCGGCCACTGGACCATACGAAATTGGATAGCCCTTAAAATTCTACTGTCCAAGTTGACAATCTATGTTCATGTTGTCGGTGTGGCGCGTCAGCGAAGGTCCCGCATCTCGCGGATCTTTTCCGCTAATTGTGATAGAAGTTTCGCCTTTGAATTTTCACTTTGTTTTACCCAGCCATTGCCAATCACGTCTCCCTTAATCCTTTCCATCACGAGTACGTCCGCCCAGAATGACTAAATGCATATAAGACTTTGGGTACCGGGATAGACGTATGTTGCAATACAAAATGCATTGTTATAAACCCTAAATTACTCTTAAATTAGTAACCATTCTGCATTATAAACTAATATAAGATATAATTAAGTCTAGCCCTAGAATCTATAAGTACCTTTATAGATACTACTTCTCTATTAATTTTAAGCATAATATTAGCTAACCACTAGTAGCACTAGCAGTTTAGCATTATATTATATAATACTAATCTCCTGGGGCTCTAGTTCCTATTATAAGGCAGGGGTTTCCTTAGGGGTTGCATTTCCCCCTTAGTTATCCCTTTTCAAGCACTCCCTAATATAATGGCCCTTTTCCTTGTAAAGAAAGCATCATCCTCCCCTATAAAGTTATTCTAAACCCTTATATTACTTCTAGTAGGTATCTATTCTCTTCCTTAGATGCCTGTTATTTTGCCTATTAAGTGGTTTATCCTTATAATTAGGACTCTGCCCTAAACCTATTAAACTACTATTATATTACTTTCTTTTTACTAGAGTATTAACTTAGCTTTATTAGAAATAATAGTGGTTGCCTTTTAGTTATATTATAAGTTAGCTAGTGTCTTATCTTTCTACTTAATAGATCTTCTTATACTAAGCCATAAGCTGCTTAAGATGTTCTAATAACTAATTATAGCTAGGTGTATATTAGACTCCTGCCTTTAGGTCTAGCTTTATCTTTTCTACTATAGTTTAAACCCAGAACCACTCCATGTCTGGGTATGGGTTAATAATATTCTGTAATTCTTAGATATCTATGAAGAAGGTATAGACAGACCCCTAGTGTTCTAGCTAATAGAGCTAGTGTATAGTAGTTTACTATTAATCCCTATGCAGCTTGATATAGTCCTATAGGAATGCCTTAAATTCCTTATAGCTAGCTTTATGCCCCTTAGGATGTCTGTCTCTCCAGGCACTCTTGACTTCAGAGTCTAGCTGTAAGGTTATATATAAGATCTCTTTATATCATTATTAAACACCTAGCATTTCACCATAAAGTAGTCTGTGAGGTCTTATATAAAGGTTTTTAATCTAGAACTAGCATATGCTCCCTTGCTATCCTAGATAGCTAGGTCAGCAAGCTTAAGCCCCTTGGGTTCCTTCTCTTGCTAAATTAATATTATCTACAGGCTTTAAATAAGTTAAGCTAATAAAGCCTGGTTGAAGAGCATTATTAGAGGATTATTAGGTGTAGGCTGTGGTGTAGACCTATTATTTTAGTTGCTTGCAGCAGCACTGCTATCTAGGATTAGGTTGGATATGTTTAGGGGTATAGTACCTAATTCACTGCTACTTAGTCTCATGGATGGAATATTGCTGAGGGGGCTCCTATTTATTAAGGGAGTAGAATTACCTATAGCTATCCCTAGTTTAATTAATAGGCATGGAGCTGTTGATCCCTTAGGTTCTATGGTGTTATTTTATTAATTAGTATATTATCTAATAATTATAATAAGCAATCCATAGTGGAAGCAGTTCAAACTGTAAGGAGCTGTGAGGTAGGCTACTTAGGGAGGTTCCTAGCTAGTAAGGTATTATTAACTAGGCTGCAAGTCACTGCTATAATTACTAGGTTGTAGGAGTATATAGGTTTACTAACAAAAATATATATATTATAATGATTAGAATAAACTACTTAGTTTCCCCCAAGCCGTTTGGTTCCCCCTATTTCTATTCTGCGGGTGCGGAGTTCAGACAAACTATTATCCAAGCAAGGGAGCAGGCCCCCGCTGGGGGTACGCTGGTGGTTCAGCACATGACACAAACTAACTACTTTTAATAATATAGTTCATTACTTTACTAAGTATAAATAGGGAGTTATTTTATATACCTAGGTACAGTTCCAATCCTTTAGTAAGACTAATAATTATTAAACAGACCCAATGGATATTAATCTAAATGCTATCCTTGCGTCTCCTAATCATCTGAAGAAGGGAATGCGCGAATAGAAAGCTTTGTGTTAAATAAATCAAGCTTACTTTAATTATGGATAAAAGGCCATAATATGTAAGCTTATATAGTACTAAATTAATTAAAGACCCATTATAAGAAACAATCAGGAAAAGCAAATAACTGCTAGATAAGGAAGCACTAGTTAGTTAACTGCTAAAGGCTTCTAATATTAAAGAGTATAAGGTATCTAATAACCTCAAACTATTTAAGTATTATAATAATTTGAAAAGAGATAATAATAAGGAGAATTAACCACCTATTAAGGGAATGCTTAATGCTATATAGGTAGATCTAGAACTAGAAGATCATGATTGCATTAGTACCTATCTAAATACTTTTAGATCTAATCTTATCTACTTCCCTGCTGAGCTTGAAGCTTCTAGGGTGGTAGCCTATATTTAAGCACTACTAGACTACAGCTCTAGCTATATATTTATATTAAAATACTTAGCTAATTTGCTACCCTTATCATAGTTTTGCTTTCAGCATATACTAAAACCTTTGCAAGTTTACTTACTAAATAACAAAGTTATATATATATTATGTTAAGTTCAGATCCCTCTTAGACTTAGTAGTTAGCCTTATATCATCACTCCATGGGTCCTTGAAACAACAGAGTATAATATTATTCTAGGTTGGGATTAGCTAAGATATATTAATCCTAATATTAATTAGATTACAGGTTAAATGATAATTAAGGGGTAAGGAATAAAGTGTGTAACTATTAATCTTATTAATCTTTAATACTAAATTAAATCAGGCCTAGAAGTGCTTATAAATCTTATCTTTATAAAATAACTTTAGTGTACTTTTTAAAGGGACTGTTAAGAAGCCTAGTTATTTATTATTTAAGAGCTTAAAGAGGAAAAGGATAAGGATGCATTAGTAGAGCTATCTTAGTTAAGTCCTCTTCTTACTTAGTATGAAGATGTGTTTAGAGAAGAGTTATACCTAGGAATGCCTCTAGCTTAGTTAATATAGTATTATATTAATACTAGAGATTCCTTGCTAATAAATATGAACTCTTACCCTCAGCTACCTGAAAAGTTTTATGAGATAAAGAAGCAAGTGTCACACCCTGGGATCCGTCTCTGCTGTTCTCCGCTAGTCAACTACTTTGGGAACGGGGTGATATAGTCCCTGGACTATATCCAATACTTGCCTGAGGCCTACCGACCGGGTAGCCTGATGATGCAACGATATAATGATCTGAACAGGATCAAGGACAACCAAAAGTAACACAAGAATAATAATAGTAGAGATAGAAGCAAGGCCTATTAAGTACATATACTTAATAGTAAGAGAGTAACTAATGAATTAGACTAGTAAACTTATACTTAAGTAAATAACTTGTGTTAAACACAAGGAACTAAACTAAGAGTGCTAGATATAGTAATAATAAATATCCTTATATATCCATAGTTCCTCCAGGTGATAGTGGTGATATGTAGTATAGTGGTAGAATAGTAGATGATTATAATACCCTTCTATTATTAATTCTGTATACCCATCTACCACGTCATGTGATAAAGGTTTATTAGGAAACATATTTAGTCATGCCCTACTAAACTATTTTTCTGCAGGAACCTATCTAGATTAAGTGTTTCTCTGGATTATGTCCTGATCACTCTAGGATTAACTGGTGATCATTAATCCTTAGGTTTCTGCCTGTCACATCCACCCTTTACTAGTATAGCTATATTAGTGCTATAACATCACCTCCCCCTCTCTTAGTATTTTATCCTTAAAACTTAATTCAAAAGGTAGCGCTTTCCTAGGTAGGTGTGTTTTTTATTTTTTAAACTATATTTACTCATCATGCTGAAGTATTATGCTGATACTATTCTTAAAGGTGTTCCTAAACTTCCCTATAATTATAACTAAGTTGCTGGTTGCATTTATTAGGAAGAATATATTATCAAGAATAGTTTCATGACTTCTTTTCCTTGTGATTACTGTGTGTTATTAGGTGAGGTTTATATGATGGACCAAACTTATCACTATTTAAAATATATATTATATACCCATCAGGGTTAGTTATATAAGAAAGATTTTCATACTAAAAAGGAGTGGGATATTTTGAAGAGAGCTAAAAAGAAGATTACTTCTAAGCTGTCTGTAACTAATAATAAGTTAGAGCTTCTCTACCCTAAGCTTTAATAGTTATAAGAGCATTTAGAAAAGATCTAGAAGGAGTTAATAGAAAAATAATAGAAGGTTACTAAATCCTTAGCTTATTACTCGCGACTTTAAAAATAATAAAGGTTTCTTAAAGAACATGGTTTTAAAATGTTAGAACATGATGCTGAACTGCTGTAGATCTTAAATAAGAAGAAGTCATCTAATTAGCCTGATCCCACTGCTGAGGTCTAACAGCTGGCTATAACTTCTGACAATCCTAATTTTAGTGAGATAATAATAGAGATTAATCAGATGCCCCCTTCCTTCTAGGAGAACTTTAATTTCCCTTTAAATAGTACTATTAAATAAGTTAGTAGCAGC